AAAAAAGGGGGATATATACAAGGAAAAAGGCGCAGAAAAAAATAATATTTCAACTTTCTCGATCCTTGATCACATGATCACAGGGAAACATTCTCCCAAAATTTGAACACAAAATAATTTTTGTTAGTTGGGAATCCCACACCTCTCTTCCTTTGAGCGAAAGGTTAAATTATCGAATGGTTTCGCCCCTGAGGTACTTGTGATTAGTCATTGCGAGGGCCAAGAAAATAATTCAGCTCAGACTGGAAGGGCTTCAAACCACTCATACTTGCAAAAGAAAGACCGATGAATTCAAATTTTTCGCTAATGTGCGGCATTTGCATGTGATGAGAGTAGTGTTTCATTTCTCCGACACTGACGTCACATTCTACCGCTGTTAGTAGTTTTGAACCCATGGTCGTACGGCAGCAAAAACAGGAAAAAGAAACCTCAGATCTGATTTTTTCGTTAATAACAAGAAGTGAACAAAAATAGATACCGAGACTTTATCTTACTCCTTTACAGCTAACTAGAAATGAATACAAAAAAAAATTTACAATTTTAAGCTTTAGTTCCCCGGTGTCAACCGACAACCGTCAAAAACGCAACACATTTTTACCTTCAAACGTCAAATAACCAAGGCAATTCATTGGCTTATTTGGGGTCAAGTTCTGTTGTTTATGAATTAAAGTTTTGATATATCTCAAAAATAAACTTATGTAAGTCTTAAATTCTAGTCGCGTTTAAAACTGGTCAGCGACAGAACTGACTGGGGCCTTTTCCCTTAAAAGTCCCTGGGAACGAGATTGTTGTATGATTAAATGCTTGCTACACACTGATGCTCTCTTATTAGTGCCAGCCCAAACAAGGCATATAACCTCAAGCTAGGAAATCAAAATCTGCCTGTGTACTGTTCCATGAGTGGGGAGCTTGGAGACTGCGGTGGTGGGGGATGGACGCTGGTCATGAAGATTGACGGTGCAAAGGTATTTCAGACGTGTTTTAGGTTTTATAACTATACTTACTCAAAGGACCGTAGCTTTTCAAGTTAATCGAATAAAAACTTTGACTCCCTTCTCATTTCTCTCATTCATTTTTTTCTATCACATTGTCTCCTTGAGTGAGTTACTGCTCTAGATGTCACGTTAAGCTATCTTAAAAATATTGTGGTGCTTTATATGATCAATCCTCTAGCAAGGATGCCCTTTGAAATTTTCTTCAATTCATGGTTAAGCCTTTTAGACTTTGAAACGGATGTAATTCTTAATTGTAGCCCACATTGCGATTAAGTCTTTGAAGTAACTGACAAGAGACAATCATCCTAAAGGAAAACAATCTGAAGAGCTAATGAGAACTCAAAGAAAAAATAAAAAAAAAGCAAACTCCCAAAAGAGAAACAAGGTTCGAGTGACTACGTCTTGGTTGGCCTTGGGACACCTTTCAGTCGATTGAGTGTCGTAAAACCAAAACCAAAGTAATCAAAATTACCTACCAGAAGAAAGGAAATATCCAGAAGAGCCATTAAGAGCTAATAGTTGAAACAATCAAACTTCACAAAGCGCGGAAAAACGTGGGCAACGAAGTCGTGTACGGTATTAGTTTTAAATCTGATTGATCGAGAGAAGCACGAGTTTTCTAGACA